GCTAAGGTCGTGACAGTGTGGCACCTTGATGCTTGGTCATAAAAAAATATCATTGTCTAAGCACTATGTCCTTTGACTAGTGATTTTCATTCCTGCAAGCAAAATTCAGGTCTTGTCTGGTGGAAAAATTGGCATTTTCCCTTATAGAAATTCTTCTATTTGCAATGATATTGAGTCTTATGTTGTTTGTTTTCTTGTTTACCTTGATACTAGTATGGTTCTATTCTCCAAGTTTTCTTCCCTGTTTGGTAACGTGACGTGGCATTCCTCTGTGCTTTCTTTCCAGCTAAGTAGTCTGTCAAAATAACATGTCATTGCTATATGTGTTCATCTGTTTGTTGGTATGAATGTGGCATTCCTCTATGTGGTTGTCTTCTTTTGACTTGAACCTAGCTAGAATTGTCTGCAATTGGTGGAGCTCTGACCCCGATAAATCCTTTTTCTCAAAATTGTTTAAGCCTGACCATAAGCCACAGCCCAATATTTGTTTACACCATTAACCAACATAGGACAAGAGAAGGAAGGGTTCCGTGTGATTCCGGTCGAGGACAACATAGGGCATGCTAGCCATGCATCTCTTTGAGATAGTTTTTGATAGAGTTGCTTTGAGACTTCAAATTTCAACTTTACATTACTGTGCTTGTATCTGTTGCTTAAAATATATATGCTTTTTTAAGTGTGTACATGCAATTTTGCTGATGATAGTAGTGACCAAAGAAATTGATGCGAAGTCAATGAGCATACTTGCAGAACTTCTATCTATGCAGTTTTTATGTTGCATTATGCTCTGTAGGTTTTTGGCCAAGATATTAGCACCTGAAGGTTCAAAGGATGTGCTTGTGGGACAACCTATTGCAATTACGGTATGATGTTTCACACAAATAAACCAATTTAACATTTAGTGTTGGCTATGTGTAATTTTGTTGGCCATGGGGTTATCTATTTTATTCTATGAATTTTTAAGAATATTTTTATTAGATGACAGTTATCCTTTTCTTGGTCCCATGCTTGCTACTTGCTCAACATTGTCTAAAGAAGGTTTAGTTGATGAGTCTTCTAACATTGTTATTCTCAAGGTTGAAAATCCAGATGATGTTAAAAGCATACCAGCTGATATATGCAAAGGATTCGAGGCCAAAGGGGAAGAATCGACTAAGGAATGGACTGACACTGCAGAACACAAAGTGAGCATTCCAAAGGCAAATTTCAGCAGAATCAGCCCGTCAGCAAAGTTGCTAATTGCACATCATGGTTTAGAACCATCTTCACTATGGGCATCAGGTCCTCGTGGAACTCTTTTGAAGGGGGATGTACTTGCAGCAATTAAGTCTGGAGTGCAGTCTACAGGAGCTCACAAATCAGACCAAGAGCTGGTAGCTGCATCAACAAGTACCTTGAAGCCAACTGTTCATCAGTTGTCTCAGTCTGCAGTCCCTTTACATGATACAGACACTCATGAAGATTTTCTAAACAGTCAAATTCGTAAGGTACGTGTTGTGTTTGTTTAGAGGAACATACCTTTTCCTAGTAAATGCTAGTTTGGAGTGTGAAATTCTGGTAATTGATTTTCTTTAAGAACTTGCAGAAGAATTGTTTTTATACTGATCTGATATATTTTGGCATTATAGAAGTAAATATTATATTTAGTATTTCATATAAGGTTCTTTCACCTGCACACTATATTTTAAATACCAGACAGTAGTGGATATCAGCCAGCACCTGGACCACCATGGGTTCGTTAGATAGACTAGTATAGCACACCACTCCAGTCGATATCATTGAGAAAAAAATTAAAAATGGGAAAAGAATATAAAATACTTCGAACTTTTCTTCTTCCTCTTCTTTGGTGAAGGACTCCACTTTTATCCTCTCCATATAGGAGCAAAGTTGCACATGAGCATGACACCATGGGTTTTGAGGTTTTGAGCCCTAAAGTTGGAATTTTAGATTGGTCCAGCCTGGGCCTACTAAATAAACCAGGTTAGCTGGCTTACTTTGTAAGGCTGAGGTGCAAATTGCCCCTATATACCAGTGGTATAGTTGAATGTTTGGTCAAAACTGGGTACCATAATCAGTAAATTAAAGAACTGTTATCAAAATCTGGGCTGTAAGGTACATTTAACCAAGGTTCTCAATTGTGGTCCATACCTGTGTACCGAGCCCTGCGCGGTACGGTACGTACCGAGGCATACCGATCGTATTATCACGGACTTAGCTGGTTTTGCCTAAGTCGTGCGGCACCCTTGCGTGTCCGTCCGCAAAGGTCAGCCTTCCCGAAACCTCCCATGGTCCCTTAGGACCTACAAAAGAGAAAACGGGTTAGAGAAAGCGCCTCACTCGGGATCCACAAGCAAACATTCCAGGAAACACTTCATAGACAATGCAAATTACAAACAGACTTTACAAGCTCTGAACGGTTGCACAACAAAGGGTCAAAATGGTCCACTACAGACCGAATATCTCTCACAAGTGTCCACATGACACAACATTTATTTACAAGCCTAAGAAGGCCACCAAACCCAACTAAAATGGGACTGTTAAGCCTTCGACCATTCCTCTATATGCTGTGCAAAGCATGAACAAACAGAAAGACACGGACATACATAAGTATTACATCAAACATCATGTTTAGAACTTTGTCCGTGACATTCTCCCCCACTTATTCCTTCGACGTCCTCGTCGAAGCCTTTGCCGACACTACAACTCCTTGCCTTTGCTGAGTCTTCAATCTTCTGCTCCAATTGCAATGCGCCTCTTGGCTCCCAACTGCTCTCCACTGTTTTTGAGTAGTTGAACCTTTGATCCGCCATGCTGCTTCAACTCGCCAATGACTCTGATTCTAGTGTGGGGTTGGCTGAGTTGTGTTGATCCCTGTTGGTTCCTGCGGATCCTCTAGATGAAGGAAAAGATCATCCTTACTATGCGCCAGTCTCTCAAATGCTTCATGCTGCTTGAACTAGGTAGATCTTGTTGGAGCTTTAACGAGCATCGCCTCGCAAACTTCTGAAGTTTTGGGTCCTTCCTCCATAAAATTTGCCCATTGACTCTTCTTTCACTTAGTTGTCACTTCCAAGTAGATTCACATCACTTCCGCTTTCGATTGGCATTCTGTTAGAAAATGAAACGGATAATCTACTCTCAGTAGTACTAATCACCATTGGTGAGGATTTGATAACTATTGTCTTCTAATATCTTCGAAGGGTCTTTGAACCTGTGCAGGGCTCCTTTGCTGGATAGATAAGAGAATTGGGGTACTCAGTTTCGCCCATTCTCTTAAGAGTTAAGAAGACAATGGTTACTTGACTTTGCCCGCCTCCTCAAGGGTTGTACTCCATGCATCGAGCTGATTACTGGCCTTCGCTTGCTCTTTGCTCACACTTCTGAAGCACTCGAAGTGTTTGCACTCCTTGCGTTGAGTTAGCTATTGTGATTCACCTTCTCAATGCCATCGAACTTCTGGAATGCAGGAAGTTTTCACCCTAACTTGGAGTAAGTCTCTAATAGTTTTGGTCGCCTCTGGGATTGTATCGTCTTCTCCATCAACTCGGTCGCCTACTCCACTGAGTAGCAAAGGTACAACACCGCGTATTGCCTGCTTCGTTCCTTGGTCGTGCACTCTTGCATGACCCGAAGTCCTTCACTTTCGGCTATCTTGATGAGAAGCTCGTTGACACCAGTCTTACGAAGTTCCTTGGCCTCTGCCCTTCAGCCTTGTCTTGGTACTTGGAGTTTGCCTCTGCATTCTCCACCTCCTCGGCCCCTTTCACGACCAAGCGCTCTTCCTCCATGAGAGCAAGGGATCAGTGACTTTCACGGAAGTCCCGCCTCTGCGGTACCATGACGCTGTTATGCCCGTGGCCCTATTATCCGTTGCCTCGCATCTGCATCCCTTTTCTTCACGATCAGTAGATATGTCTCTGTGGCACTCCTCCGAGTCCACCTTCATTCTAACTGATGCTTGATTTTGGGTAGCTAAGTCCCTCTGGACTCGTCGTCGCTTCCTCGCCCCTTTCGACCCCCTACTTTAACACCTTTGTGTTCTCCAAGCAGATCCATTTAGTCGATGGAAAGACAGACTATAACTCCCATGCATGACCTCTGCCATCACGTTGTAGGGTTTGCACCGATTCTGTTCTCCTTAGCTTCCTTGGTAGCAACGTTCGCTTACTCGACCTTGTCCTCTGACTTGCTGGGCTCCTTTAAGCGAATATGGGCTCTGGAGCAGTCCAACTCTCCAGCTACTTCGATCATACCTCTGCATGATCAAGTCCCTCCCATGGGACTCACTGGTACTTGCATTTGAACTTTTTCCTTGGTGGAACACAGTCCTCATATGCTGATGACCAAGGCTTTCATTCGATGCAAAATCCGATGCACGCACGGAAGACCCGCCTCTGCGGTACCATAGTCTTCACTCCTTGAATCCATAGCCCTTCTTGTCGTCATGTTGTTCATCGAAGTGGAGCTCCCAGTAGCTCCAGATCATACCTCCGTATGATATAGTCCCTCACGGGACTATGTCGTGTGTGTCGCATTGCCACGAACTGTTCCACCACGATCCGCTGCACCATGTCGCCTCCTGGTGACATCTCTAATGCATTCTGATCCTTGTGGGATGAACTCGAATTGTGATCCCTCCATGTGTGGCCTCTGCCAATACATCGCAGGGTCTCTTCCACCTTCGATTTTGTTCACTCCTTTGGCAATCGACCTTCATCCACCCACTCTTGGGTCACACCTAGATGAAGCACCACTCTAGGACAGTCCGTCGCCTAGTAGCTCCCGAAGTCCACCGACTTCGCTACAATTAGTGCACCATTGTTTGGATCCTGGGCCTCTGCTCCTACCAGCACAATCTCCGCTGCGCACCGCTTCCTTTATGGCAACTTGAATGGCAACACTGTGGCGTATTCTTCAAGAGTACTCGCCTCTACGTCCTCTTGCCCCGTGCCAAGGCCTTCTGAACCCAACTTCGCCTCCGCAAGTTGAGTCGCCTTAGTTCCTCCATCAAATGCTTCTCCGAGATAAGGTGCATGTGCCCAGAATCTCCCATCGTCTTTGGCACTCTGCAAGATGAGTCCGCTCCATCCAAATGAAGGACCTATGGAACGACATGATCCCGCTCTTGCCTCTGCAATAGTTCATGTCCTTGGGCCCTGTCCAAGGAAAGCTCTGTGCCTCCACTCCATGTTCCATCTTCTATGCCGGCTCCCTTCATGCGGCTTGGGTACTTCGCCAAGTTACACCCTAGTTGCTCCGCTCCTCATTTTGCATTAAGTTGATGGTGGCCCTCGCGTCCACCATTCCACGGGTCAGCCCTCCCTTGAGTCTGATTTTATATCAACTCCAAGTGTGCTTTCATTTGTGTTGCTTTGGGTCACTCCCCCACTTGATCTCGCAATGCATCCCCCAATGCATTCTCTCAAGCGAGATCATGCGACGGCTCCTCGCCGCTCGCTCGGTCCATTGAGCTTCGTGGAGTTGTTTTTTTTTGAGGTACTTCTCAATATGTGCGGTCTGTTGCACATGATTCTTTCTCTGGAGAGCCAGGACTTATCCCTCCTGGATATCTATCCCGTTGGAGCAACATCTCTCTTCGTTTCGGAGACCACCATCCCCTTGGACTATTTCGATTTGCTGAACAAACTGTGCATTGTTCTGCCTCCTGCAAATGCATTTGCTAGATTGCGACTCCACGTCAATACAGGCCCCGCTGCACCACTCAAGGCCTAGCAACATGCTGAACTCGTTGCACACTTCAGCCTCCTACGGACGTATCATTCACATGCCGAAGAGAAAGCTTCAATACTCCATGGCGTCGAGTTTCGGTAGCCTTGGGATGGCCGTAAACATTCCATCGTCCACATACAAGCCCATGCATGAGTACCGAATTCTTCGAGTTAGCAATTCCCCCCACCTCTGTAAGCTTTGCACAACTCTTTCGATCGCTGAGCAACTCATTCCACCTTGCATGGTCTCATCCTTTACCAAGCGCCTCGCTTGCCTTGAGCACCATCAAGTATAGTTGTCAACGTCGAGCCATAGCTCGAACTCAGCCATCCCAATCTTTGTGCGCTACGCATTCTTCCAAACTTGCTTGTTCTCATGGTGCCTTTTTCGCGAAGGGTTGGCCATTCCTCTGAATGCCAATCTCAAATGCCCGCTCCTCTGAGCAACTCCTTTTCCCTACATCTTCATGCTCGTTTTCCCCCAAACGGTCGTGCGTGTGCTGACTACCCTCAACACAGCCCCGTTAGGTCCCCCACATTTGTATGCCAAGTGTTTCTATGAGTGCTTGTCCCGCTCTGATACCATCTGTCACGGACTTAGCTGGTTTTGCCTAAGTCGTGACAGTATGCCGGGGGCGTACTGACGGTATACCCAAAAAGAGCTAAAAAAGCCTCCAAAAATACCGAGGCGTACCGACCTGTATGCCTCGGTAATGGTCGAAATCCGGGACGTGTACCGACCTGTATGCCTCGGTAATGGTCGAAATTTGGGACGTACCGACCTGTATGCCTAGGTAACGATCGAAATCCAGGGCATACCGACCGGTACACCTCGGTAATGGTCGAAATCCGAGGTGTACCGATCGATACACCTCGGTAACGATCGGATTTCGACCGTTACCGCCCAGTACAAACCATGTATCGCCTGATACGGGGTCAAAACATTGGTACCACCCGATAGAGGGCAGTTCGTGTACCGGTATTGAAATTGAGAACCCTGCATTTAACTTAATGGTCCTGACTGTATTGTTAATCACTGTCTGCAGATTTCCATAACCGACTTTTAGGTTTGCCTCCTTCCTACGATGGATGTCAGATAATACTGATAATTTTTCGTAGTAAGTTATTTCTTCAGCAAATCATAACTATGTCCATACTATTTATTGAAACCTTGGAATTTCCTTCAGTTCTTGTTAAATCTTCACCATGCAAGAATTGCTTTGTGTCAGAACATCTCATGCTGATTAGTGACCACTTTGGTGCTTGCTATGCTTGCATCATTTTGGCTCAAGTTACATTTATCTTAAGATTAGTTAAATTGTAATTTGTGCTATATTAGTGTCATTGAGTCTACAATGAGTCCTTATGTAGTTTTTTATTTTAGGAGTTCTTTGGGGTATTTGTTTTTTCATAAAAAAATTGCTGAGTCTTCAATCTTCTGCTCCAGCTACAATTCGCCTCTTGGCTCCCAGCTGCTCTCCGCTGCTGGTTTTTTTTTTTTTTGAGTAGTCGAACCTTTGATCCGCCATGCTGCTTCAACTCACCAATGACTCTGACTATGGTGTGGGGTTGGCCGAGTTGTATTGATCCTTGTTGATTCCTGCGGATCCTCCAAATGAAGGAAAAGAGCATCCTTACTGTGCCAGTCTCTCAAATGCCTTATGTTGCTTGAACTGGGTGGATGTTTGTTGGAGCTTTAACGAGCATTATCTCGTAAACTTCTGAAGTTTTGGGTCCTTCCTCCACAAAATTTGCTCATTGACTCTTCTTTTACTTAGTTGTTACATCCA